CAGTCTAACCATCTGAAGGATGAAAGATCACATGTAGAGAGACACTGGACTGTCATTCTCTCTCATACAGCTGTATGAGTGAGCCCAAGTAAAGGCAGCAAAAGAATTACCCTGTCATGGGTTAGGAAATCCCAGCAAATTTTTCTGTGGCTCTTACTAGACCTAACAATGCTATGAAATAGGAAAAATTCAATTCATGCTAATAGACTGATCCTCAAGTATAAATTGCTATTTTTCTCCCTGTTATGTTTTTGTTTTCAACAGTTTACTTATTCATAAACATATATCGTGTCAAATAATATTTAGAAAATAGGTATTATTAGTTATCATTTGCCTTCTAGTATAACTACTATAAATTTTAAATTTACATATTTTGTCTTTCGTTTTTTAACATGTGATGATATAGATATAGCAGAGATTTTTTTTTTAATTTACACTTTAAATCTGGAATCACTTGTCCATGAATATTCAAATTTGACATTTGGACTTTAAGTTAGAAATCAGTATTTTTCCTAAATATTCTTTACTAGAGTGAAGTGAGCAAGGAGGAGAGAATGAAATAAGCTCCAGTTAAAACATCACAGATACCTATAGTTATTACCAAGTTCTAGTAGTTTTCTTTGGATAAGTGCTGTCTCATTTGATACAACCTTTAGTCAATTTCCATTGCCCTGAATGTGTTGTTTTTGATAATTTTGCAGTTTTATCATTGCTATTTGTGGAATGGATTTGCTGCATTTTCTCAATCAGCTGTTCTGGAAATCATTTCCCCAGTGATGCCTCAGTTCACAAACTCCATTGTGTTCTGTCCACGATTCTGGCCACAAACTTAACTAGACAAAACCAAATGAAATTTCCCCTTTTATTCAACATTGACCCTAGCCATTGAATTTGATTCACTTCTTGTCCAACCCAGTTTGCAACCAGAAACATGGAAAGAATTAAATTTGTGAATCAAGGTACCAACTGCACTACTATTTTGAGTGCTTATCTACTGCCTTCTAACTAATTTCCAAGTGATATATCAATATTTACCAATATAGATATATTTTAATTACAATGTACAGTATCATTCACCACCACTTCCTTTCTGTATCATCTCATCCTATCTTTAAAATACTGTTCACCTAAAAAAGATATTGTTCTAATTCATTTGTTCTGTTTTGTTTATTTATTCTGTCTTAAGTATGTTTCCAGTAATGTGTGTAATTTCTATGTTTTACTTTCATCATTCTGGAAAGTAAAGAAACTGTAGTACACATGAGTGCATTACTGACCGAAGAACTTTCCCTGCTGTAGATGGTCTAGCGCACAGGTCATGTATTCCATGAAAAAGAGCAAATGCATTTTGTGCTGGATCTTATAGAAGTATGAGCAAGGAAAACGGTGCATCAAACATGAAAAGAAACTAGAATAACTCTGCTACTGGCTCTGTGATGTATTAGGAATTACATTAAATGATTAAAGATAGAATTTCTTTTATGACATTAGGGCTTCAAGTCCACCAGCTTATGGGAGCAAGCTTGATATCATACAATGTGCATGCTGACAAACCTATATTAAGACACAATGAACACTGCACCAGAACTACAGAAAAAAAAGGCTTATCCTCAACTAAGAACTCACCATTTATTCATGGAGAGAATTTTATTATCTATAGAACTCAAAGAAAAAAAAATAGTCAAAGAAAAGAAATTTGTAGGTAAAATTGCAAAACATGAGAGTGTTCCATAGCAACTATTTAACCTCATATTTCATGCAATGAAAAATTTGCATCTAAAGTTAAAATAAACATATTTCAAGGTGAAAGCAATGTATGAAGATATTAAATTCTTAAAATAATATTAGAAATACTTTGAAATAAGAAAAACCACTTGTGAAAAATATCCACAAAATCTTTGGCATAAAATAAAACTACTGCCGGGTGTGATGGTGTACTCCTATAATCACAGCACTCAGGAGGCTGAGGCAAGAGGATCATTGCAAGTTCAAAACCAGCGTGGGATGAACAATGAGTTTGAGGCCAGAGTGAACTACCTAGCCAGACCTTGTCTTTAAAAAATGCATAAAACTATTAAAACCACTATGAAAATCAGTACGATGAGTCCTTAAAAAGCTAAAAATAGAAATTCTATTTGGCCTAGCTATGCCCTTTCTAAGTATCTTTCCTAGAATTAAGAGTTAAGCACATCATATTATAGTTATATACACATGCCCATATTTATAGCACAGCAACTCATAAGAGCTAAATCTTAGAAGTGGCCTATATGTCCATCAGTAGAAGCATGGATAAAGAAATTATGATATTTATTTACACTGGAGTATTACTCTACCACAAAGAAGGATAAATTTGAGTCATTTTTAGGAAAAAAGATGTATTTTGAGACCAGAAAGTTAAGTAAAATAAATCTGACATATAAACTTGAATAGTACCTGGTTTCAAAATTAAAGATGGATAATGAGAAGTAGGGAGATAGATCTTTTGCGAAAGGAAAGAGAACCAAGAGATGGAGGAAGAGGAAAGGAGGGAAACAGAAGGGAAGAAAATAAGCTACGTTATATTTATGTACCTATACCCACAATGAATGTAATCATTATGCATTGCAAATATAGACCAACAAAAATTTAAAAAGAAAAGAAAGTGGTCAGAGTGATGTGATAAATGTATTTGGAAGGTGGAGTGCATTGTGAGGAGGGTTAATGACAAAGTATCTTATTGTAATAAATGTTGAAAAACTTTAACTCATCACCAAATATTTTGATCATACCTCATATTTGCATAAGTAAACATTTAGATGCTCTAAGGTACTACTATTTGTAAATGGTTGTATCTAGTTCACTTAGGCAAACTTAACTCAAGGACTTTATGAATCCTTGAAGAAAAATGATGTGCTATTCAGTATAATTACATAAAAGTTGACTTACCGGTTTCCCAGGAGAAACCTGCTTCTGTGGGTGTTAGCTCACGTTGGGAGCAGAATAACCCCAGGCCAAAAAGTTCCTCAGTGGTGCAGAAACGAAGAAGGATGTTGGGGAAAGGCGACTGTTCATTTGAGAGCTGAGTCAGACCTGGGAAATGAGATGCCACTAAGAATCCAGGCCTCTAAGTCACCATGGGTATAGTATCTTTGCAGATGGAATCCAGTAACATGAGTAACAGAAATCTACTATCTCTTCTTCTCATATTTTAAGGTTCAAGCTAAATTATATCTGTGGTAAGAAGCCAGTACCTATTAAAGACTCACTGATTTTTTCTTTCTAATAAATATTTCCTAGATCCGGTAATTATATGATCTTCAAAACAGATGGAATTATATTTTGAGTTGTATTTAAATTGAATTTGAACACTTTTATTATTTTATTTATTTTGTTTTTGCTGTGCTGAGCACTGAACCCAGGGCATTTCATATGCTAGGCAAGCACTCTACCACTGAGCTATATCCCAGCTAAAATTTAATTTTATCAAAGTTTGAATATAAATAGCTTAAAAAGTCATATAATACTACAGAAATGATAATAAAAACCATTACTTTCTTCCTTCAACTCTCCCACCATTCATGATACCCAAGTACCTCTGCTGCAGAATAAACCAATTTCAGGTGTTTTAAATGTTTCCTCTTATAAATATTTCTAAATTTCTATGAAATATATTTAAGTTGTTATTTCCTGTTTTTTAAAATATTAAGCTTCTTGCTATGAAAGATAAAGATTTAGCTTTTATACTAATCCTGTACCTTACCTTCCACTTTGCATTTCCTTTCTCCCATCCTTCTTATGTAGCATGTATATAGTAACTTTTACTAAATAAATATTCAGCATTTATTTTAGAAAGGTTTACTTAAAATAAAATTTATTCCACACAGACCAATTATGGGAAAGATATTGCAAATGGCTACTTAATAAATTCAAATAAAGCGCCCTCTCCTGCAGGCTGTGTCCGCCATCTTCAGTGCCAGTGGGTCTTCTCCACCACGCCCTCCCCTGAGGGCTACACTGCAGCCATCTCCAGTGCCAGATAGGTAGCCACACAGGCACCCCCGAACCCCGCCCCCAACCTTCCCCCTCACACTTTTAGACCTCTGGATTGTACCAGTTTTGGACCTACTATGTAGAGGCAGAGGTGGTCATAAAGGGTATTTTCTGGCACTTTCAACTTTGAGCATCTGTAAAGAAGTTGTGGGGGAAACTTATAGTAGCATTGAGTGGAGTTCAACCCTTTAGGAGGTCGGGGAACTCAGTGTGGGCCTTGCAGCCCGAGCTCAGTCTGCTTTGTGGGGTTCTGCCACCAGCTAGCTGAGATCAGGGGACTCAGCTCTACAAATGGCAGCACATGTTCTATATTATGACAGCAGTGATATAGTCTGAAAGAGGCCCTTCAAACTCATTTTTGTTTCTTTCTTTTCTTCATCCTACTCTGCGAGTTCTTTTTTTTCTTTTTGTTTTCTTTCTCTAACTCAGTCTCTTACTCCACTATAGTATCCCTCATCTCTCTTTTTGTTTCTGCTCTTGTCCTGTTTTCTTCTTTTATTATTTTTTTCTCTTTTCTTTATGTTCTTTTCTTATGTTATTCTACCCCACTCAAGGGTTATTATATTTCTATTTTGTTTGTTCTTTTTGAATTTAACAATTTCCTGAGGATTGTCTGGTCATTCTACATCTTTTGGCTTCATATGAAACCTTTTCTAATTCTTATATTTATCTACTCCTCTTGTCTTAACTTTGTTTTAAGCCCCCATTGTAAATGGTAAATATCCTTATTGAAAAGTTTATTTATTGTAAGCATATTTTGGATTGCTTCTTGATTTTATTAAATTCATATGGTTTGAAGGTAATAGATTGATGACTACCATAAGTGCTCGGTTTGCAAATTGTGCTTCATTCTATTGTGGTGCTGATTGTATCAACTGGATTGTGATTGATTCAATGAGCTGTTGTCTTCAGTATTATGAAAATGAGAATGTCTATGAGCCATTAGAGACCCATGGGCTTCAGCCCAACTATATCAGGAAGATTTAAGTAATAACCTAAAGGTTAAACTAAGGACAACCCAACAACAATAGTAAAAATAAGAAGACACTTGAGCAAGATACAGGGACAGACTTCCAGTTCACTAATGGCAAACAGTGGGGCAGATGAGGATGAAAAGTCTGATAGTGAATCATCAGGACACCCTGAACTCAAGGCACAGGAAGTAACAAAACTGATCAATCAGGCTCTAGAGAAATATAAAACAGAAGTAATTTCCCAGATAATCATAGAGGTGATGAGCAAAATGAAAGTTATAATTCATGACTCTAGAACAGAAACTGAGAGGAAAATAGATGAGCTCAGAACCATGATAGAAGCCATGAATGTCCAGCATAAGAAAGAATTGGAAACAATAAGTGCCCAATACAAGAAAGAAATGGAATCCACAGGACAGATTCAAACAGATATCCAGGAGATTAAAAACTCCATTGAGAGTGTTCACAAAAGAATAAAAGAGTTCGAAGATAGAATCTCAGATATAGAAGATAAAATTGCAGTCGGTGACCATAAAAAGAGAGGTCTCTTAAAAACAGTAGGGGATCATGAGAAATTGATACAGCAACTCTTAGACTATACTAAGAAGAATAACATAAGATTGATAGGAATTCAAGAAGTAGTAGGAGAAAATGTAAATGACTTTAAAAAGCTGTTCACAGAATTAATTATAGAAAACTTCCCAAACAGAAGGGAAGAATTTGATATACAGATAAGTGAGGCATATAGGGCTCCAACTAACCATGATAAAAAAAAAA